CCCCTCCCCCCCCCCCCCCCCCCCCAACCGCTGGCGCTCTGACCGTCGGTGGACCGTCCAAGGGGAGGCTCTTCCCCGAGGAGCTACAGCAGAGAAAAAAAGGGACGACGGGTGTGTGTGTGCAGCCAGAGCCGCGCAAAGAGCCCCGGGCCTGTCTCGCGCGCTTCCAGGCCAGGAAACGACTGCTGCGTGACCGAGTGGCCCGCCCGCCTGGCCCTCGAGCAGGTTCTCTCCTCTCCGGGTCTTCATCCGACCCCCAGCCAGCGGCCTCCGCCCTCGCAGTCAGGGGAGCCTTCAGAGCTAGTCCACGCTGGGCGCGCTCCGGGACTGGGAAGGGGTGCGGAGAGGGAGGAAAGGTCCCCGCCGGCAGCGCACTTCCGTCTTCCTACAGCCAAATCAGAAGGAGAGAGAAGAGCTGGCTTCTACCATGCGCCTGGTGGTAGTACCTCACCCCAGATCTCAGAGAATGGCAAGGGCTGCATGAAGGCCAGTGCTGCCAACTTCCAGGCGGGGGCTGGAGTTCTGTCAGAAGAAGAAGAGGAGATTGGATTTATACCCCTCCCTTCACTACCCGAAGGTGTCTCAGAGCGGCTTACAAACTCCTTTCCCTTCCCCGCCCCACAACAGACACCCTGTGAGGGAGGTGGGGCTGAGAGAACTCTGACAGAGAATGCTCTTTTTTCAAGAACAGCTCTTATGAGAGCTATGGCTTGCCCAAGGTCATCCAGCCAGGTGCAAGTGGAGGAGTGGGGAATCCAAACCTGGTTCTCCCAGATTAGAGTCCGCGCACTTAAGCACTACACCAAACTGGCTCTCTTTCAACTGATTTCCAAACTACACACATCAGTTCCCTGGGGTGGGGGAAGACCGCTTTGGCAGGCAGAATCTCTCTGGCATCCCATCCTCGCTGAGCTCCCTCCCCTTCCCAAACTCCACCTTCCACAGGCTGCACCCTCATCTCCCCAGTAATTTACTAAGTCATAGTTGGCAACCCAAATCTGCAATGGATTGTTTTAAGGATAGGATTGCCAACCTCCAGGTGGTGGCTGGAGATCTTCTGCCTTATAACTGACCTCCAGGTGGCAACAGAGATCAGTTCACCTGGAGAAAATGGTCACTTTGGAAGGTGAGCTCCATGGCATTATACCCCATTGAAGTCCCTTCCCTCCCCAAAGTCTGTCCAGATTCCACCCTGAGGCATTTCCCAAACTAGAGCTGGCCACCCCATGTAAGAACAATGATTGCACGGTCCTTACACTGCTTCCAGTGTAATGTTTTCTGAAAGTAATAATTATTTGAAATCAATTGGTATGTGAAGCATTGATTTAATAAATACAATTTATTTTTAAGCGAAAAATAAGCATGTCGCAATATTCAAGGCAGTGAATTCTGTGTATTCTAGGTAGGAGACCATAATAAAGCTGCATGTATTGTATACATAAGAACATAAGAGAGGCCATGTTGGATCAGGCCAATGGATCATCCAGTCCAACACTCTGTGTCACACAGTGGCCAAAATCCAGGTGCCATTAGAGGTCCACCAGTGTGGCCAGAACTCCAGAAGCTCTCCCTCTGTGGCCCACCAAGCACCAAAAATACAGAGCATCAGTTCCCCAGAGTGTTCCATTTATATATTGTGGCTAATAAGCAGTGATGGACCTCCGCTCCATATGTTTATCCAATCCCCTCTTGAAGCTGTCTGCGCTTGTAGCCACCACCACTTCCTGTGGCAGTGAATTCCATGTGTTAATTACTCTTTGGGTGAAGAAGTACTTCCTTTTATCTGATCTAAACCTACTTCTCATCAATTTAATTGAGTACCCATGAGTTCTTGTATTGTGGGAAAGGGAGAAAAGTACTTCTTTCTCTACCTTCTTCATCCCATGCATAATTTTGTAAACTTCTATCATGCCACGCCTCAATCGTCGTTTCACCAAGCTAAAGAGCCTTGACCTCTTTAACCTTTCTTCGTAGGGTAGGAGTTCCATCCCCTTAATCATTTTAGTTGCTCTTTTATGCACCTTTCCAATGCTATAATGTCTTTTTTGAGGTGTGGTGACCAGAACTGTACACAGTATTCCAAATGAGGCTGCACCATAGATTTATACAGGGGCATTATGATATTGGCTGATTTGTTTTCATTCCCCCTCCTAATAATCCCCAGCATAGCATTTGCCCTTTTTGATTACAGTCGTACACTAAGTTGACATCTTCAGTGAGATATATCAACCATTACTCCAAGGTCTCTCTCCTGGTCAGTTACCTCCAGTTTGGACCCCATCGACATATATTCATAGTTAGAATTTTTGGCTCCAGTGTGTGTTACTTTGCACTTCATTTGCCACACTGACACCCACTCATCCATCCTCGATAGATTCCCCTGGAGCACCTCACAGTCCTCCTTGGTTTTCCACCACCCTGAATAACTTATTGTCATCTGTCAGACTTAGCCACTTCACTGCTTACTCCCAACTCCAAATCATTAATGAACAAGTTAAAAAGCACCGGATGTAGTACCAAGCCTTGCGGTACCCCACTAATCAGCACCTTCCAATGTGAAAACTGTCCATTTATATTCATTCTGTTTCCTGTTAATTAACCAGTTTTTAATTAGGGTTGCCAAGTCTGGATTGGAAAAACCTGGATACTTTGAGGGTGGAGCCAGGAGAGGGCGTGGTTTGGGGAGGGGCCTCAGCATAGTACAATGCCATAGAGTCCACCCTTCAAAGCAGCCATTTTCTCCAGGGGAGCTGATGTCTGTCGGCTGGGGATCAGTTGTAAAAGCGGGAGATCCCCAGGCCCTGCGCCCCACCTGGAGGCTGGCAACCCTGTTTTTAATCCACAAGAGGACTTGTCCTCTTATCCCATGACTGCTGAGTTTACTTAGGAGCCTTTGATGAGGAACGTTATCAAAAGCTTTCTGGAAGTCTAGTTAAACAACATCTACTGAGTCACCCTCTTCCATATGTTTGTACATCCCCTTAAAAAGTAAAGTAAAGGTTCCCTTGCTCGAAAGCCAGTCGAATCCGACTCTAGGGTTGCGGTGCTCATCTCCATTTCAAAGCCGAAGAGCCAGCGCTGTCCGAAGACATTTCCGTGGTTATGTAGTCGGCATGACTAAACACCATGGTCATGTGGCCGGCATGACTAAACACCAAGGCGCACGGAACGCTGTTACCTTCCCACTGAAGTGGTACCTATTTATCTACTTGCAATTTCTTGCTTTCAAACTACTAGGTTGGCAGGAGTCACCCCCTTAAAGAACACTAAAAGTTTAGTGAGATGATCTTCCCTTACAGAGTCCATACTGATTCTTCCTCAATAGCTTTTGTTCATCAATGTGCCTACTAATTCTATAATAATGGATTCCACCAACTTACCTGGTTTTGATGTTTGACCGGCCTGTAATTTCCCAGATCTCCTCTCCAGTCCTCAGGAATGGAGGCAGATTTTAGTGAAAGATTGCATATTTTTGTCAGGAGATTTGTCTGTTTTGGCTTGGATAATATATACCCACAGGGAAAACCCAATAAAGAATCCTAAGAATGATCCCCTAATTTGGTGCCCGGAGGAAGGGGAAGAAGGGAGACTGAACAAGATGCCTGTTTATAGGGAGATCTGAGTAGAAAGCTGTTTTCAAATGATTGCTTATTTCCTTTTCCTTAGGCCTTGGCTCTGGTGGTTGAGTCTGATTTAACATTCCAGCTTCCATGGACGAGTGGGCCTCCGAGGAAGGCACGAGCAGTGGCAGGCCACAGACTGCAAAGGCCTCACTACGTCCCCCCCAACCAAGATACTTCCCTGAGGTTTCTACTGAAGTCTTTGCTGGCGAATATGGTTTTGAGTTGGCACTCCAGGAGCTGCAGACAGACAGGCCCAATATGTACATGGTATGGAACTGGGGCAGGGTGGGATCATTGTACAAAGTGGATTGTGGGGAGGATCTAGCTTTTGAGCCAAGAATTGCATAAAAACATTGTGGGGCACCCAAAAGCCACATTTCAACTTTTATTTTTTTATTCCTCAAGGGAGTTCTTAACAGAGTTTGTCTGAATGGAACTACACATTTATGTGATGCATAGTTTTAGTCTAGATAGAGTCCTAAACACTGCCCGGGGGTGGGGGGAGGTGGCAGCGGATGGCCTCCACCTGAAGCTAGGGTTGCCAGCCTCCAGGTGGTGGCTGGAGATCTTCTAGGATTACAACTGATCTCCAGGTGAGAGAGATCAGTTCACCTGGAAAAAGTGGTTGTCTTGGAAGGTGGCCTCTATGGCATTATACCCCACGGAAGTCCCATCCCTCCCCAAGCAGCGCTCTCCTCAGGCTCCACCCCCCCCCCAAGATTTCCAGGTGTTTTCCAACCCAGAGCTGGCAAACTTAACCTGAAGCAGCAGATTCATAGTTTATGGGTGCTGCTGGATCCTGGCCTACAGAGGCTCAGGTCTGCTCTGTGGCACATTAGTACCTTTTTATTTTGGGTTGATATGCTTGCTGCAGCCATTCCTCAAAAACTATGATTGTGCCAAAAGTGATCCATGCTCTGATCATTTCCAGGTTAGGTTACTGTAATGTGCTTTAGGTTAGGCTGCCTTTGAAACTGTCCAGAAATTTCAGTTGGGTCGAAAATGCATCTGCCAGATGACTGTCAAGGGCTCCATAGAGGAATTGTATCAGCCCTGTGCTGAAAGATCTGCACAGCCTGCCCATGTGTTTCTGGGCTCAATTCAAAGTGCTGGCTCTTACCTTTAAGGCCCTAAATGGCTTGGGGCCTGGCCAGGGCACCCAAAGGACTGTTTCCTCCTGCACAATCCAACCTGCCAGTTACAATCTGCCTCCCAAGCAATGCTCTCTAAGCTGTAGAGTCTTGTGAGCAAAAATTCTACTTTGTGAGCGACTGGCATTAAAGTTGTGAGTGAGCAACTTGGCTGCTGCATAAATTAGTTTGCTCTGGAGCCCTCCTTCCTGAGCTAAGACAAAAAATGTGTGAGCCAGAGGTAAAAAACTGCGAGTTAGCTCACACTAACTCAGCTTAGAGGGAACACTGCTCTCAAGCCCCGCAAGACTCTTTCCTGTGAATAATATGATGGTGATTTGATGTATGTTTGGCTGGATATTTCAGGCCTTCCAGCTGAGGTTAAGCAAGTGGAGAGGAGGAAGGAAGGGGGTGCTTTTCGGAACAACTGTTTGTGTGTTTTTACTTTGTAGTGTAGTTTATCCTAGACTGAGGACACCAGGTGGGTTAAATAAAGTCTCACAATCTTCCATTAAAAGAAACTCCAGAATTCCTTTGACTGGGTGCTAGGTGCTGTACAGAATACCACAAAAATACTTCTGTGTTCGAGAAGGCTGCGCAGACTAAATTTAGCTATCTATTGGAGGAGGTGGAGGGAAGGCAGCTTGGTACAGCCTGATCTTCTCAGATCTCAGAAGCCAAGCAGGAGACCACCAAGGAAGACTCTACAGTGGAAGGCAATGTGGTGAACCACGTCTGCTTCTCATTTGTCTTGAAAGCCCCTTGCTGGGGTTGCAACCTGATGGCACCTACGTACTTATGTAGGAGAAGGCGGTGTGTCATTAAAGAGTGGAAGTCTTGGGTGGAGACAATGGATTGTGTGAGTGGCCCTGTGACGGAATTGAAAATCTGGGACCAGCAGAATGTTAAGATAGATCCCTGCTGTGTCACACGGCATAGAGGGGAGGGGGCCTTTTGGCTGGAGCACTTCCTGAGTGACAGAAAACTGACCTAACTGACAGTTGGAAGAGGCAGGGGGGAAGAGAGTCTGAGGAGTTAGCAGGAGGGTCAGCTAACCGAACTCTGAAGAGAGTGGATGCATAAGACCTGGGTGGTCACAAACACACAAAAACACTGCTTCATAGGGACTCAAGTAGTGGTTGAGGAAAGGCAAAAAGGGATCTGCAGGAGGAGTCTGGAAGGCTGGTTAGGGGACCAGTTAGACTCAGGGGGGGCCTGACCAACTGAAGCCAGTAAGTTAACCCCTGAAGAAGGCAAAGTGATATAAATATTTCAACAAAGTATCTGAACATCCCATGGAAATATGTTCTGTGCAACAAAAAACTAACTGTGCCTTTTTGAATGTTATAAATATGGGTGCCTGACTTTCTGGGGAACCATATACTGTGCAGTAGTCCTCAAAGAAGACAGCCTGAAATATACAAACCCCGAAGAGAAGATTATACATTGGGTGTAGAGGACTGGTCAGGAAAAATAAAATAGACTCTGACTAGGTCCTGACACGCAAACCCTCACAGAACTGACAGTATAAAGGGAGTTCGTGTCATAGGCAAGTATTGTGGCTTGTAATTTGATGAGGGTAGGACACTTTTCGAATAACCAACAGCATACACAAAATGTAGACAGTGCTTAGGAGGTATGGGGCCTGCTGTTGATGGTAAAAATTTGTGTGAGGGCTCAGGTGAGGCAGGAAGACTAGAGGTCTGGCTAATGGGGCTCCTGAGCTCCTAGGGACTGGAGTGAGAATGAGTTCTCTAGGAGGCAGCTGGGATTGATCAGTGAGATGTGCAACAGCAGCAATGAGCTTTTTCTTCCTTCTTTCTCATTCCCCTCTCCTGAACCCAGTACTCACAGATTCTGAACAGGCTGTATTGTCGGAAAGGCAAGCCTTGCCCCATCCCCATGAAGGTGTCCAGCTCACCACCTCCTGGCTCCATCATCCGTGCCGTGACTACGTATGAGAGTCGTGTAGCTGCTGCAATTAAATCTCCACTGGAAGGCAGAACTCGTGAGTGACGACAGCTATCTGCTTCTTCTTGTGACCTGAAATGGAGCACAGCAGGATGGAGCTCTGGGAATTGCATTCTGAGATGCCCGTCTGGGCCTGATTTCTGAAAGAGAGATGAGCCTGGAAGCCCATCCCACTCCTTTGTACCCAGTGGCAAGAGAAAGGCACTCTGCACAAGCTCAAAGGCACCTGAATAGTGTTTTATGTGTTAGGTCCTGATGTACCGGAAGAGAGTGGAAGATCATGAACTCATTTTGAGAGCCAGTTTCGCATAGTGGTTAAGTGTGCACTCTAATCTGGGAGAACTGGGTTTGATTCCGCACTCCTCCACTTGCACCTGCTGGATGACCTTGGACAAGCCATTGTTCTGTCAGAGCTGCTCTCTCAAGGACAGATCTGGAAAGAGCTCTCTCAGCCCCACCTACCTCACAGGGTGTCTATTGTGGGGAGAAGAAGGGAAAGGGGTTTGTAAGCTGCTCTGAGACTCTGAGTGAAAGGCAGGGTATAAATCCAATCTCCTCTTCCTCCTCCTCCTCTGCATTTTTCCCCACCCCAAAAACAAGAGACTTCTTCTTTTCACACTGAGTGCCATGAAAAGTAGATGACTCTTCAGGGGGGAAGATGTATTTTCTAGGGAAGGCTGGAGGGTGAGGGAGAGAATAAATTGATTGAAATTTCCATATTCTCACCCCATGTTTGTGTCGAGCTAGTTGTTTTTACTGTTAGTGAAGAAGAAGAAGAAGAAGAGATTGGATTTATACCCTGCCCTTCACTTGGAGTCTCAGAGCGGCTTACAAACTCCTTTCCCTTCCCCTCCCCACAACAGACACCCTGTGAGGTGGGTGGGGCTGAGAGAGCTCTTGACAGAAACTGCCCTTTTTCAAGGACAGCTGTGCCAGAGCTTGCGACTGACCCAAGGTCACATCAGCAGGTGCAAGTGGAGGAGTGGGGAATCACACCTGGTTCTCCCAGATTAGAGTCCGCGCACTTAACCACTACACCAAACTGGCTCTCTGTATAATCTTAGGGTCTGCTCTCTTTCAATATGGTGTTTTGGTCAGAGCAAGGGTGTCAAACGTAAGGCCCGGCCAGCGAACAACTAGTGCAAGAGAGGCAACAAGAGACTCCTGGGGGGGGGTGGAGTGAGGAGAGTCACTCCAATCGTGGCTTCAGCATGGCAGAACAACCTCTTTTGCAGCAGCCAAGCAGTGTGGGAGTGTCTGCTCAGTGCTGCACCCCTGGGTCTCCAGTCTGCCATATGGGTTTTCCTCTGCACCCCCTTGCCAGCCCATGAGTCCTTGCAGGGAGGACAGACCAACTTGGAGCTTACCAGGTGCTGTCCTTTATACAGTTTACTAGGAAATAAGGGTCATTGCAGAAAGAAAGGCAACGAGATCTAGAAATAGTAAGCAAGGAAGAGAAAAGTAAGGCCATATTGAGGTTCGTGGAGGCCCCACGCAGCAATCCGTCTGGCCGCCCAGGCTCCCAGTCACTCGCGTTATGTTGTCTCTCTGCTTGGGCGGCCCCATTGTCCCATGGGCTGGCCGGCTCCATCCTTGCAGCCTGCCACGTCAGCACCACCCCCGTGCCGTCCCCCCCCCCCAGCAGGAGTCGCATCGCCGCCACCCCCTCGTCTCCCCCTGTCTCCCTTTTTTCCCCATGACCGGTGCTTGCATGAAGCTGCAGAGCTGGTTCCGGAGTGGGTAGCGCAGTGGGCGGCCATCCCCTGTCCTCCACCTGGGTGGTTCCCGCCGTGCTCCGACTGTGGCCGTGCGGCTTTTCCACAGTCCTCCTCCCCCACCTCTCAGCCTTTGTGAAGAGCATGAGGCAGGCTACAGAGGCGGTGCATGAGGCAGAGCCAGGTCAAGTGGCTGTCGCCAGGGAAGAGAGGTGAGCCAGCGGGGCGGCATGAGGAGGGAACGCTGGGTCCGTGCCCCATTCATGGGGCGTGCGAGGGATGGGGGGTCGGCAGGAGAGGACTGAAGTGCGGGCTTGCCTCCTCACTCCCGACGCTGTGTGTGAGCCGGAGGAAAGGAGGCCCCGGCCATGCCCAGCCCCACTACTCCAAACTGATCGAGGTTTATAAGATTATGCATGGGATAGAGCAGGTAGAGAAAGAGGTACTTTTCTCCCTTTCTCACAATACAGGAACTCGTGGGCACTCCATGAAATTGCTGAGCGGTCGGGTTAGAACGGATAAAAGAAAGTACTTCTTCACCCAAAGAGTGATTAACACTTGGAATTCACTGCCACAGGAAGTGGTGGCGACTACAAGCATGGACGGCTTCAAAAGGGAATTAGATAAGCATATGGAGCAGAGGTCCATCGGTGGCTATTAGCCACAAGGTATAGATAGGGGCTCTGGGGCAAGTGGTGCTCTGTATTCTTGATGCTTGAGGGAGGGCAAGTGGGAGGGCTTCTAGTGTCCTGGCCCCACTGCTGGACCTCTTGATGGCACCTGGTATTTTTGGCTACTGTGTGACAGAGTGTTCGACTGGATGGGCCTTTGGCCTGATCCAACATTGGCATATCTTATGTTCTTATGTGATCGCGCAACTGCAGGTCAAATTCCTCCGGAGGGAATAACCTCCCTCCCCCCCCCCGCCGTTTTATCTGGCGCTTGTGACCGCAACCTAATTGTTTTTATATTATTGGTTCTGTTTTTAGTTTACATGTTGTGAGCCACCCTGAGCCCACTTGTGGAGTAGGGCAGGATATAAATGTAATGAATAAATAGCTAAATGAAGTATATGAAATAATAAATTCCAGGGCTCATCTGTAGCTCGGAAATGTGGTCCTCAAGCTGTTCTCTGACTGGACTGAAGCTCTCCAAATACCAGCTCACTTTATCAAAGTGGTCTCCCTTAAAAACTCTTTTCACCTCCCCTTTGTGTCTTTTGGCAGGCGTGGACCCCCCTGACCACCCGATCCAGGTGGAAGGGAATCAACATGTCCAGTACTTCTCTGACAAGGAGACTTTGCGCGACAGCGTCACCATCACTTATGAAAGACCTGAGGTTGTGGGGGATTAAGATTGCTTGCATAGATGGGACTGAGGGATGGGGAAGAGACTGGGGGAAAGTGAGCCTGTTGTTGGCAGGGCGGGCGGGGTATAAATTGGAACAAACAAACAAACAAATAAAAATTGATGTTTATTTATTTATTCATTTAGGAAATGTTTATGTCACCTCTCCAGAATCCTGCTAGAGGCAGTTTATTAGTCAAGGCTATTACTTGGGATCTGCAGTCAAATGCATGAGTGCCAATTTTGAATTTATATGTGATATTCAAATCCCTTCTCTATCCCTGCTGAAGGGTTACCCTATCTGCACTGGGAAATTCCTAGAGATCTGAGGGCAGAGCCTGGGGAGGGTGGAATTTGGGGAAGGCAGGGACTCCAGCAGGGCTTGTGTTGCCATAGACTCCACCCTCCAAAGCAGCCATTTTCTCCATGGGAACTGGTCTCTGTAGTCAGTTGCAAGTTTGGGAGAATTCCAGTCCCCAAGTTGAGACTGGGAACCCTAACCCCACAATCACCACATTCTCTGGTTCTTTACTGCACTGTTTCTTTGGCCCATACTTCCCAAGCCTCCAAAGCAACTTCCCCCCTCCCTACCAAGAGCATACAAACATTTTGCTGGTTCCTGGCCTCAGCATGATATTTTTCTTTGGCCATCGTTTTTTTGTTATTCCTTACCTCTGCCCTCAAAGCTTTTGCATGGGAGGGGATTGGCTCATATCTGTGTGCCATTCTATCTCTGCTCTGCAGGTAGGATCAGCATATACCACCATCCTGTACAAATTCATACACACGAGGAGTCCTGTTTTGATCGTGATCACTCTACAATCCCTAAAGTGAGTAACCACCTGTGTGGCACTTCCACTGTCAGTGTGTTTTGGCCTTGGAGGGTGGCATGTGAGGAGCGTTGTGTCAGACTTTTTGGCAAATTCCCTCTTTATACAAATGTTGAACTCAGTAACATTATGGTCACTGTTCCCAAGCGGTGCAATCACTTTCACATCTCTCACCAGGTCTTGGGCATTACTTAGGACCAAATCGAGGATCACCTCTCCCCTGGTAGTTTCCGTGACCATTTGCTCCATAGCACAGTCATTTAGAGTGTCTAGAAACTCAACCTCTTTCTCAACTAGAACACATATTGACTCAATCAATCTTTAATTCATTCATCATTTTATAATCCTCCTCTATATTTTGATCTGGTGGGTGATAACAACCTCCCAGTGTTAAGTTTCCTTTTGGGCCCACTATTTCAACCCATAGAATGTTCAGAAGCTAATCCAATTCTCTTACCCTCTAAATCTTACTGGACTGTATACCCTCTGTGACATACAGAGCCACCCCACCTCCATCCCTCCCCCCCCATCCATCCGATATAATATATAACTGGGAATCACCGTATCCCACTGATTTTCCTCATCCCACCAAGTTCCCCCCCCAATACGAACCACTCCAACTCCCCGATTTTACCTCGGACACTTCTAGCATTTGTATAAAAACATCTATAATTTCCCATGTATGTTAAGCCTGCAACCTTCCTCTTGCTATCTCGAGACCTTGTCAGGCAGTCCATGTCACTAGCCATGGTCTCAGTGGACAATTCCAATCCACCTCCCTGTAGAAGAGCAACGGCTACCCCCTCATCTCTCCGAGATGAGCCACTTTTCATCTCCTGTCGGCTTTCCCCCAATATTCAATTTAAAAACTGCTCTGCCACCTTTTTGATTTTAAGCGCCAGCAGCCTGGTTCCTTCTCGGGACAAGTAGAGACCATCTCATCTGTAGAGCTCCCTCTTGGTCCAAAAAGCACCCCAGTGCCAAACAAACTTGAACCCTTCCCCCCTACACCATCGTCTCATCCACGCATCGAGACTCCTGATCTGTGCCTGTCTCTCCGGCTCTGCGCGTGGAACAGGTAGCACTTCTGAGAAGGCTACCTTGGAGGTCCTGGCCTTAAGTTTCTTGCCCAGCAGCCTAAATTTCTCCTCCAGGACCTCACGACTGCATTTCCCGACATTGTTGGTGCCGACATGCACCACAACCACTGGCTTCCCTCCACCCCATCTACCATCCTATATAAAACATGTGTAATGTCCGCTACCTTCACAACAGGCAGGCAAGTCACCCTACGGTCAGTACGCAGGTTCGATACCCAGCTGTCTACCTGCCTAAGGATCGAATCACCAACTACCAAGAGCCCCCCTCCCATCCTGCCCAGGGATGGTTCCTTGGTGCGAAAGGATACCCGCTCACCAGCTGGGGAAGAGGTCCCTTCTGAGGGCACATTCCCCTTATGCTGAGCACGGTGCCCTGTTTCCCCTTGACCCTCATGCTCCCTGACAGCGGCAGGGCTTCCAGTTCCAGAGTGGGACATATCTAACAAGTCCCTGAGAGTCTTCTCTGTGTGCCTAACTGACTGTCTCTGCTTCTTCAGGTCAGCCACCTTGGCCTCAAGGGAGCAAATACGTTCCCTGAGAACCAGGTGCTCCTTGCACCGAGCACACACCCAAGACTTCTGTCCAGTGGCAGATAGTCATAGACAGAGTGAGTACAGGCAGGAGGCCTGGTATAAAGAGGGCTGTGGGCCTTGAAGTAGTATCCAGTTAAGTGAACTAGGTAGTTCTGTTAGATTTGATTTTTTTGCCTTTAAACGCTGTTATATATTTTAAAGCACCTTGTCTTGTTTTCCTTGCCCCAGTACTGTGTTAATAAACCATTTTTCTGAGACTCCTTCAGGTAGTGAAGAGCAGGGTATAAAACCCAACTCTCTTTTTCTAAATCTATTGGGGTGGGGGAGCATGTGTTTTGAGGGGTTGATTTTAATGGTTTTTAAATGGGATTTTATCATGGCTATTCTAAATTGTTAGCCATCTTGGTGGCCTTTGTGAGGGCAGAAAGGTGGTGTATGGATTTTATGAAATAAAATGCATAAAAATTAGAAAATGTGTAAAATAAAGAGGATGTATAAACCGTGCAAAAGCAAGCCGTACCTTTTAAAGCATCCTTCTACAGGGACACCTATGCTATTCTGCTGTTATTGTTAGCACAGATTCGATCATCTAATGCTATTCTATATTGTATTCAACGTCACATTTTTTATATCCTCCTGGCTTTTAAAAAAACAACAACAGTGGGCAGGTTCTTGGGCGTGGCTGCTTTGAAGTCTGGATTTCTTCCATACCTGGATTACAACGAATTAGTGATGAAGAACAGGCTTTGGAAGGTACAGTCATGTGAATGATTCTCAAAGGGGGAAAAGGCTGTGACTGGGAAATGATTCTATGGCAGAGATGATCAGGTGAATGCACAGCCCTAGGGAAAGGGGTAGAAGTGGGCATAGAGGGCCTGTGGGTGGGAATAAGTAACAGAGCCTCTCCTCATTCTTTCTTGAAGAGGCAGAATGAGAAAAGTGACATTGGGGGGGGGCTATGAGAGAAAAGGCAACTATTACTCCTACTCTCTTGTGTAGAAAAAAGAACTGAAACACCTTGATTACATTTTGTGCTTTTGTAAGGCCTACCCCCATTTCTCATGGGTCTGCCCACCTTGCCCTTCTTGTGCTATGTGGTGGGTGACATGCTGGGATTTTTAAAAATTGCATGCCAGTGATAAATTGAAACAGCAATCTGCTGAGCATGTGCAGATTATTCCTTGGAAACCTCCCTGATGTGGGTAATAGTTTGGGGTGGGGTGGGGGGGTTGGCCTGCCTTTACTGGGAAAGAACATGTGGGGGAGCTTTTCCCCCATGAAAGATTCCAAGTTGTGGGTTTTGGGGAGGGTACTTTCCACCAAAGAGACTTCCACAATGTGGGTTCTAGCTGGGTTGGTGCCTTTCTATTGAGGGAGGAGCCTGTCTGTTGTCCGTAACTCAAAGAGAGGGTGGAGGACTGGCACAGCCAATGAAAACTGCAACTCTGCTGCAGGAAATCAAGAAAACAATCAATGGCAAGGCACGTATGCAAGGTACAACTCACAGCACGTGAACAAATGTTATAGAGCATCTTTGCTACAGTGCAAGCTAGGGTTGCCAACTCCTGCTTGGAAAGTTCCTGGAGATTTTGGGGGTGGAGTCTGGGAAGTCCAGGATTTGGGAAAGAGAGGGACCTCATTGGTGTGTAGTGCTATTGCATCTACCATTCAAAGCCATCGTCTCCAGGGTAACTGATCTCTGTCATCTGGAGATCAGTTGTAATTCTTGGATATCTCCAGGCCCCACCTGGAGGCTGGCAACCCTAGTGAAAGGAGACGAAAGATGCAAAAAAAAGATTTTTAAAAAGCTGCAAACTGAGACGTATATACAGGAAAATGGGACACACACAGAGGAAGTGCGCATAATAACTTGCTGTGTAAATCCTCTGTTTGGAACACCACTGTAATGGGAAGTGCCCCAGAAGCAAGGACAATACTGAGCAGCACTGGTGTCTGGAACCTTGAAATTCCCTAGTTGACTGAGGTATGGGACCAAAACAGTGAGATTTCACCATCCAAGAGGGTTGTAACACTCCATTGACAGAGTCTACTGTATCAGCATCAAGGATGGTTTGTGTTGGAATTCTGGGTCTTCTTTTTTCAGCTGCTTTGCTACATTATGTATAGTAGCCAGAGAGAAATGTTTGTCCTATGAGGCACCCCACTGGACTGTTTTGGATTCCTAGCTATGGGGGGGGATGTGCAGATCTGTCTTCACAGAGGAGGGAGAGCTTGTACCTGAATAAAACTTGGTCTTAAAGGTTCCACTGGACTATTTTGAGGGGCTCTGGAACTTACCTGGCTGCTTCTTGCTCTGATTGAGGGCTGCTGGGAGCAGGGGGTGGGGCTTGTTGCATGTGCCCACCCCCTCGGCTCTTTACTGCCGGAGCTCCGGTCCTGTGTGCTCCTGCAGGAAATGACCCCTGGTTGTAACACTCCATTGCCAGAGTCTACTGTATCAGCATCAAGGATGGTTTGTGTTGGAATTCTGGGTCTCATGAGACGTTCTTTTCCAGGCTGTTCTTCTTTGAGCTGCTTTGCTACATTATGTATAGTACCCAGAGAGAAATGTTTGTCCTATGAGGCAGGCTTGTTTTTAAGGAATTGCCCTGATCCACCTCTAGAGACAGACAACTAATGGCCCTGTAGTAGGGCTGCCCCTTCCCAAACATGTCAAAAAATGTGTCCAGACAGTTCGGTGAAGATGAATGTTGGTATCTAGACTCTTGCAGAAAAAGGGTTCCATATGTGTGTTCTCAGAAATTGGCTTGAATCTGGGCATGGTTGTTGTGGAGAGGCTGAGGGAGCCAAGAAACACTTGTAAGCTGGAGTTTTGAGATACAGAATGAGATGAGATGCTGTCAGAAAGCACTGATACGTTTGTTTGGCAGTGGCATAAAGTTTCTAGTATCTGTGTCAGACATAGCCAATCCTGCTACCTGGACAGCAGTAGCCAGGAGGATGAGGTATAAATGTTTTAAATAATCCAGAGGCTTCATACTGCCTGCGAAACACAGGGGTGATATTAGACAGAAGAAGTGTCCAATCCTGCTACCTGGACAGCAGTAGCCAGGAGGATGAGGTATAAATGTTTTAAATAATCCAGAGGCTTCATGCCGCCTGTGAAACACAGGGGTGATATTAGACAGAAGAAGTGTCCATGAGTTCTGGCATGGCACAGTTTGTTTGACAGTATCCCTCCTAAGACCCACAGTGCCACTTCCCATCCCTGACAGCCTCTGATCCAGGGATGCCATTTGCCAGCTTATAGTGGATGGCCTCCCAGTGGTGGGGATCTCCCTCCCACCCTTGTTCCTCTGAGCAGTGGGAGAAAAGGCCCAGGTCAGAAATTACGTCAGGTGACATGTAAA